TGACGAAGAGGATATCGTCCTCTTTTGGAAGGCCGAACAAAGTAGTTTCGTTTTCACAACGAAACACAGCGTCACACACGGCGGGCTAGAGTGAGTGGAGGCCAGCTTGAGTGAGCGGTGGCGGGCGGGCTTGCGTCAACCATATGTGACGACCCCGGGCTGGACTCCGCTTCGTCCACGGTTGCAAATCTTCCCACATCGTGACATAGACATGTGGGGGCGTGTTAGAACGAGCCATTTTAGGTAGGTGTGGTTGACTCTTAACTTTTATAAAGAATATCTCTTTGGATTCAAGATTTTAGTCTTTGCAACTTTACATATCTTCTTAATGCGCCAAGAGCTTGTAAGTTGTAACACTTCAAAGAGAAAGGAAGAATTGAAATCGCATCATATGACCCCTTTAAGTCAATTCTTAGCAGCGTTCTTGAGAGTAATTCTCAGAGGCTTGATAAATACGGCCCCAGGTTAATACTACTATTCCTCAGCGGTGTCTCACTCTTACAGCACTTTGTTCACTGCAGTCAGTTGTAATGCAATAACATCTACAACCACTAGATGTTAGTGTTCTACAAGCACCTGTTACTTTCGCCATGTAATTATTGCCACTAGATGTCAGAATTTGTCCAGCTCTAGTTACTTTAATACTCAGACTGATTTTACTATTTTAGCTTAGACTTATTCCTATACACAAAAAGAAGAGACGTGTGCATGTGTGACTGATATCTTGTGTATTCATAGCAGTGTACAATTGATACACTTACAGTTTTTGTAACAGTTTTTCTCAGTCGCTTTGGTGCATTTCTCAAATCATCCTTAATATTTGCAAAAAAGTATGTGCATTTCTCAAAACAATTCGTACAAACAGCACCACACAATGGATTGCCTGCAAAAGCCTGCAACTTACTCAAAATCTTTAGTTCATCTCTCAAAAGTAAGTAGCTATTTATGTCAATGAACATATCAGTGCGATCAGAATGAAAACTTATTGTGTCATTTTTCACAAACAAGATAGTCAAAATGCTTAGTCATGTTGTCAATATAACAGTGCACTCTGTTAGTATTACCTGATGTCAACTATGGCAACAGTTTGGATGACAGTTACTGTATTGAACAGTATGCCATATGCTTATGTATGCCATATATCCATTTCAAAAGTACAAATTTACACATTACTGTATGTGGGATATTGATTGAAAGAGTAAACTAAATGTTTTGAGGGGTAAGACTATTGCACAGAGAACTATAAAATACATTTTGAGCAACATGACATTAGCAACTGATAATGTAGGAAACCGCAGATAAATGTACATAATCAATTGCATAAATGTACCAAAGCACTCGCAACTTGTTCAAAAGAATGAGAAACTGGTTTTATGATGTGTACAAATGACTAGATGATGTGGAGGTTGTACAAGTAGTTTTGAGAATTTCATTTCTGATTTGACAAATGCACCAATGCGACTGAGAAAAACTGTAATATTTTGAATTTTATTCTTATATTTTCTCTTTTCATTAGTTTAAGTAATTTTATTGCGTTTTTGTCATTTTTATTAATTTTTTTTTTATTTGTCTATACATTTTATTTAGTAGCTGCATCTTATTTTAGTACTTCAAGTTAAATTAAATGAAAATGCCTTGGCAACTACCTGAACATGTTGAATTTAAAAAAAAATTTTGTTTCAAGTAATGAATTTTTTTTTTTATGGTTCTAGTTTTATTTAACAATAATAACCATGATTCAGTGTGTATCCAGTTGAAAAATATTGTCATACCATGCTGATATTCAACTCTTGTTTCTCTCCAAGTTGAATTATACTGAGGTTCTTTATTATTTAAGAGTATTATGTAAACCTTCATATTTGTTAAGGACGTTATCAAAACTATCCTTTTAGTGCAGCTCAATAATTTTCAAATGCACTCTAAGATGAAAACAGCTATACAAAAACCTCTCAATATGATTCAATTTGGTAATTACGATTCACTTCATTTTTGGGTTGACTTTGAAAGGAAAATGGCTTTGAAAAAATTTATTTTTTTTCAATAGGGTTCACTAATTGACCTTTAAGGATTATAGTAGCTCATGCACAGCACATGCTGAAATTACATTGGACATCATTGTTTGGATAAAGGCTCAACTGTATTAGACAGGCTGAATAAAAAGCTTCTCTATAACCTTGAGATAATTTTATTAGTTTAGACTTGCCTAGATTGCCTGTAATGAATTTATGTCTATTCTACCTAAATGGAGATGGATACAGGCAAAAATGTCATTGCATCATGCCAACTAAATCATTGTGATTTGCATTTCACGGACACATCGTCACAGAGGTGAACAGCAGTGCTTGCGCTGATAATAGACTCCGTGTGTGTCTCTCTCAGTGATGTGGATCCAGCTGTCTATGTTCATAATGGCATCTGAAATGTGTTTACAGTCCTTGGAAGGATCAGCCCCATTGAGAGCTGCATGATGTTGAGAAAAGCATATACAGATTTTTGTTGATAATGACAGATGTATATTACGAGTCCGATATAATCAACAGTGATACCAATACTGATGAAGTCGTCGAAAACACCAATGAAAACGAGCAACAAAATAATTCAAAAGAAAATCATCCTCAAAGCTGTTGTGGAACCACAAACACTCACTAAGGAGTTTACCATAGAGGCTCAAACCAATAAAGATACACAAAACAACAAAAACCAAAGAAGAGGCGGAGATCAAAGGAAGAAAAAATTATTGTCATACCGCAGGGATGAAAAATAGATGGGAAGACAAGAATTAAGAGCAGGATGATCATTTCAAAGAGATCCAGAAACTGCTGTGTTCTGCATCTTAGTCAGCTTTTATGCTGATCTGTTGCACCACAAGAGATTTTAAAAGTAGCATGAATTCAAAATTGACTATACACATTACACACTCATTTTAATACTTTTATTCCACAAGGATGCATTAAATTGATCAAAAGTAACAGTATAGACTTTTACAGTTACAAAATATTATATAAAATAAATGCTGTTCTTTTAAACTTTCTATTCTTCAAAGAGTCCTGAACAAAACTGTTTTCAACATTGATATGAGCAATGTTTTTTGAGCACCAAATCAGCATATTAGATATATTTCTGACACTGAAGACTGACATAATGACTGCTGAAAATTCAGCTTTTTCATCACGGGAATAAATAACATTTTAAAATATATGTATATTTGAATAAAAAAAAAAACGTTATTGTAACATTATTTCACAATATTACTGTTTTTACTGTATGTAATTATTTACATACATGTGTATATGGATACAATGTTAGAATCGAATGTAGCTATCAAGGTCAATCTGCCCATCCCTAATAGCAGCCCCTAAGTTTATTCCTGTGATGGAAATAAATGTGTATTTATGAAATTATTGGTCAT